ACTCATCTCTAATAAAATCACATTGCTGAGTTTGCTGATAGCTTCAAATATTGACAAAGCCTGTCATACTCACATGAAAGGGACCATTAGCCATTTGTAGAGATATGTCCTTTATACTGAATTTATGTTTACATGCACACAAAAGATAACCTTGAAAAACATTGAATTATTCTCAAAACTTTCCCAAAGCACTTTGAAAATGCCATTACAAATAAGTTAGGCTTAGTTTTTCACAAAACTAGTAAAACTAAAGTTACCAAAAAAGGTGCAATTCAAGTGACAAATGGCTATTTTGATCTCTTTTTTTTCTTTTGACTAATAATAAAAATTAACATCTATAAAATACTTATCATATGCCAGGTGCTATTCAAAGTGCTTTATATCTATATTAATACATTAAATAACAGAAAAGCCCTATTAGTAAAGTACTATTTTTATCCCATTTTACAGAAACTAAGACACATAGATATTATGTAATGTTGTCACAGTTAACAACTAGTAAGTAGTGAACCCAAGATTCAGATATCTGCAATTTGACTCCTACGAGAGGACCTATGATCTTTAAAATATTTTTAGCATTTTTAAGATTTTCTCAAATCTATTAAAGAATAAGGAACCAATAACAAATAGAAATTATTACAGAAAATGCATACAATTAACACTGTTTCGTTGGGTGAATCAAACTGTTACCATTTTGGCCTGGTGTGGGCTCCTCTCAGGCTTACAGAATAAGAGAGACATTTAAAATCAATCAAAATTTTAAAGATTTTTCAAAGACTCTCTAGTAACACACAGGTGAAATTACCCGGGGTTTGTGGGTTTGGGGATTTTGTTTGTTCTGAATTTGTACCTGGCCCAGCTGCAGTGAACCAGCTTTACTGTTCACAGTATTAGAGTGAAGCAGGTAGGACTAGAGCAACTGCCTGCTTTGTAGTGCTCACTCATCACCTGTCCATGAATGTCCTGTCCATCACCTGTCCCTACATGGATCACGTACCCTTCTCTGAATCAAACCCGGCATCTTTACATCTGGCACATCTCATGCAGCTTAGCTGCCACTCCACAAGAACATCATTAGACCTAGAGCCAGTTCTACAAGGGAAGATTAAATGCCTTGTTTTGAAATTTCTCTAAATATCCACTTGATAAAGACAAATATGCTGCTTATACGCAACAGTATCTAGATAATTACATTAATTTATCTTTTTAAATCACTGATTTATTTTTCTCATAGTTATTCATTCAACTTTTCAACCACTTAGTGTGAACATGACAGTGGATGCAAAGAATAATGTAGGACTTCTTTTTGCAAAACACAGCCATAAAGATGCTTAAGCAGCTTCAAGTCTAACGCCTGGCAACTATGTGTGTTTTGCTCTCAGTATTTTAGGATAAAACTTAGTTTTCTTAATGTTCTTTTTGACTGAGTCCATAAAACAGTATTAGGTACTTTGGAAAATTAAAGAGCAGGAACAACATAATTTATTTTACTGTTGCTTATTTTCTATATTATAAGCAGCTTTTCTTTTAATATTACATTTGCCACTTAGTTTGCATGTTTAAGAACACATTTACCAAGACACAGTGGCAATTGTTTATCACGTGAAAAATATTTTTCATACCCCCAAACACAAATCTATTGCACAACTGACTTGAGAAATGTTTGAGCAGCAAACTATGATTAAAAAAAGGAAATCTATCATGCCTAATACTCCTTAATTCTTTTTCAACCTTCCGTATATTTCTTACTGCTTGTTCCCAATCATTCTTAAAATAGAAATTTTTAAATAATCTCAGTTTTTAAAAATTAGAACAATATTTGATATAAATGAGTACAAAAAAGAGTCAAATGTTCACATTTTACTGGTGATGAACATGAGGTGAACTGCCAAGGGAAAATGACTTGGCCAAGGTCACATGACCAACTACTGCCAGAGACCATATTTCAGTTCTATTTACTTCCAGAACATTCCATGATCTAGAACTTTTTCCATTGACAAGAAGCATCATTTATCACCAGTATGTTGTTCTGCAGCCTTCTTGAGTTGTGAAATATCTACTATTATTTCTCTATAAACCAATCAGCTTTTGAAAGCATTTCTTTGATTTAACCAAAAAAAGCTAAACCAAAATAATAATTTCAGCAATAATAATTACAGAACTATAGACACCTTATTAGGAAAGATATTTATACTATTCCAATTAATTATCACAATGACATGATGATGTAAACATTTCTACTTCATAGTTGAGGAATTGAGGCTCATTGGAAATAAACACCTCAGCCCACTCAGCTGTTGTTGAAGCAGCAATTCTAACTAAAAAAAAAAAAACTACAGGATTTTCTCCTCTGTAAAAGGATAGACATAGGGTTGGTCAGTCAAGATTATTAATGGTAAATAAGATAAACAGATATTCATAAAATTGTCAAGAGTTTCATTTCACTGAGATTCACCATCAAAAGTAATTCAAATTATACAATACAAAATTGATAGAAAACTAAAGGAAAAAAAAATCACATATCCACCATCCTTAGTATGGAAATTTAACTCTTAAGTAACATAGTTATAAGATAAATCTAATAGGCATATATCAAAACTGTACCTATTGCATGGTGAATGCATAACATTTTCCAACACATGGAAACATTTATAAAAATTAATACTAAGCCATAAAGCAAGTCTCATCCATTTCAAAACATCACTATTATGAAGACCCATTTCTGACAGTTACTAATTAGTTTCAAAACCAGTTCTACATTTTTGTAAATTTAAAAACAAATTTCAAAATAACCCACCTGAAATAAGATATCACAAAAGAAATTGGAAAATAATCAAATTAAATACTAATAATATTCTCAAAACGTAGAAAAAAATTAAGCAGAATTTAGAGAGAATTCTATAGCTTCTAGTGCTTACATTAGAAAAGAAAAAATAGACACACTGAAAGTTAATCAGTGAGGCATTTCTCTTAAGAAGTTAGAATAAAACATATCAGAATGAACCCATAGAAAGTAAAAGAAAGAAAATAAGAAATTAAAGAGAAAATTTAAAACTAGAAACAATGAGACAGAAAACTGCATTATAATAGAAAGGTTCAAATAAATTTAAAATTTGCCTCTTTGACAAGACAAATATGACGTTTACAAATACCAACCAACGGTGATCACGAAGAAAGAATGTACTTAAAAATTACACTAGGAAAGAAGAAGACATATAACAATAAATGTAGATATTAATATGATAATAAGAGAATATTATAAAAGTATTATACTAAAACGTTGGAAATTTAGGTGAGATAGATTCCTAGAAATGTATAAATTACCAAAACAAATTCAAAAGTAAATGTAAGATGTAATAATCCTGTATCAATGTTTGAATCAATATTTTAAAATATTCCCACAAACGAAACAGCATACCTATACACACCAGATGATAGGTAGTGCAGTAAAATTTTAAAAAAGAAATAAAAAGTATAAAAATTCAAGTGGAAAAGGTAGCTATTAGTCAGTTAGTCTATGTAAAAATGTTAATTAATAAGTTAGCTTAAAAAAGTTGATGCATACAAAATCAGTAAAATCTTACATCATTTCTATACACTAGTAACAGAGAGAAAGAAAAAAGAAAGCAAAGAAAAACAAAAATTAAAAAGTAACAGCACATAAAATAACAACCAAAACTATGAGATGCAAAATCTTTAGGTAGAAAATTATGACATTTCATGGAAAGATACTAAAGAAGTCTCAAATAACTGAAGATATATAAAATGTTCTTGGATATGAAGATGTAATATCACTAAGATGTTAATATTCCAAAATTGACCTACAGATTCAAAGTAATAACATTCCAAACACCAACTTTGAATATGTAACCTAAAAGCCAATTCTGAAATTCATATGTCTTTCTGATTACATGAAACAGAAATAAGACAACAGAGTGAACAGTTAAGACAAAAACTGGGCAAAGTATCACTATCCAAAATATACAGAGAGTTCTTTTTAATTAAAAAAGGATAAAATGTGAAAAGAATTGGGCAAAAGATATTAATATGTATTTCACATATGAGAGAATATAAATATCCAGTAAATATATGAAAGTTGCTCAAATTCATTAGAAATCAAGGCAATAGGAAATATTAATAAGCCACAATGGACTACTATTTTATACCCCTAAGGTGGGGAATAATTTCAAAGTCTGGAAAACTAGATATTGGTGAGAATATGGAAGAAAAGGAACTGTCACATAGTTGCTGGGAAAAGTATAAACATAACAAACACTCTAGGAATCAATTTAGCAATGCCTTTGTGGCGTAGTGGTTGAGAGCTACAGCTGCTAACCAAAAGGTCAGCAATTCAAATTCACCAGCAGCTCCTCGGAAACCCTATGGAGCAGTCCTACTCCGTTCTATAGGGTCACTGTGAGTAGGAATCCATTCAATGGAAATGCATTTTAGTACATTTGAGCATGCATATTTTATATAACCATTTCCTGGGCATTATTCCCTTTAGAAACACCACGAGACATGTATAGGAATATTTATAGTATTCCATAAACTGCTTTTATACATCAAAAATTATCTTTCTGAGTTTATGATAATTTCAACATGATAAAAATCCTCTTTTAAAAAAATATCGTGTGGCCTTCTGTGTTAAATGTTTGTCTTGAAAGCATGTTTAAGAATAAATAATCTCATTTTTGAGTTTTGCATGAAAATTGACAAATATTACATAATAGAAATTCCATGTGACTAGGCTCTAGTATTATTGAGTTCTATTGTAGGTTTCATTATTAACTAGTAGTTTTATCATATATTACTCTCTAAACTCTTTAAGTAAATTATAAAATAATACTATTATCATTTGATACATTCTTAAATGAGAATATTAAAGATACAAAGATGCTTTGAAAAACATCAAGTATAACACAGCACTTTTACAAGGAAAATCTTTTTCATAGGGCCATGTCTCCCATTACTTGGTGCATACTAAGGCCTATGCTTACCAGCTGCTGCCCTTGGACACCCCAGGCTGCATACTGCAAGACAGAGTCCTCTACTTCTGGTGGATTTAACTCCCAAACTTCCCTTGAAAAAAATGTAAATATTTTACATGAATGAATTGACATCTACACCATTAAGTTGGAGAATTGTTCATGAAAACCAGAAAATCAAAGAACTTACCTAGTGTGTATGTTGTAAATCACATATGAAGCAGTATACGAATAACGAAAAATCTGAAATAAAAAAAAAAGTTATTCATCTTAGTTTGGCATAAAGGTCCCATGTTAACGTATGTGTATGTGCTTGATAATATCCAACAAGTGATGTTAGGGAGAAACCAAAATATGCAGATATCCCAGTTCAGGAGTTTCTCACTCCCTCTGTGCCTTACTACAATAGACTTCTAATTCTTTTCGCTGTCATCAATCTCGTTCCTTATTCAATCCACTCCATACTTACTATAACTGTGATTATATCACTTTCTTCTTCAATATTTTCAGTGGATCCCCATTGTCTATAAAATAAAGTTCGAACTGATATTTTGATATTAAAAGATTTTAGTGTTTGGCTTCTATAAGCTTCGCTACTTCCCTGTCTCCAGTCTATACTTTCAATCAAATTAGATGAATTCCCCTTGTATATCATGAACTTTTTCTGCCTTTTTTTCCTTGGATATTCTACCCTAAGTCAAGTGCACACAGATCACCCCAGTTAAAAGCCATCTCTTTGACAGTTTATTGTATGACATTTAAGACATAACTCACTCATATAAACTATATAAACATTTTAAGTACCTCTCCTTTTTTCATTGGAATATTGGCAGGTCCAGGTGTGTATTACCTTTGCATCCACCACATTACCTAATACAGTATGGTGCTTGCATGAAATAATCAATATTCACTGAGTAATAATTCTAATGGGGAAAAACTCATAAAGTCCGACGTTTGTGCTGGTGGAGACCAGAGGTCAACATTCTACACATCCTCATAATGAAAATGTATGTGATCTTTAAGAGATTTTAGTACCATCTTAAAAAGAATTCTACTTCTTTGTAAAGCCAATTTTCTGAAAGACTGCAGCACCCACAAACAGTTAAATGTTCAGCTACTGATCAAAATGTAGGTGGTTTGAATCCACCCAGAGAAGCCTCAGAAGAAAGGCCTGGTGATCTACTTCTGAAAGATTAAAAAGCCAAATCAAACATGTTGCTGTTGATTCAATTCCGCCTCATGACTACCCTATATGTGACAAAGTAGAACTGCTCCATTGAGTTTTCTTGGCTGTCATCTTTACAGAAGCAGATCACTAGGACTTTTCTTCCATGGGGCTGCTGGTTGAACTGTCAACCTTTAGATTAGCAGGCAAAGACAAACTGTTTGTGCCACTTAGGAACTTTCCCCAAAATTAACCCAATGCTTTTGAGTCAATTTTGACTCAGCAACCCTGTAGAATACAGTAGAACTTCCCCCATAGGGTTTCCAAGGCTGTAGTCTTTTCTGCTGTACATAGGGTGGCTATGAGTCGGAACCGACTAGACGGCACCTACCAAAAACAATCTTTACAGAAGCAGACTGCCACATCTTTCTCCTGCTGAGCGGCCAGTGGGTTTGAACCACTGACCTTTTGGTTAGCACTGCACCAGCAGGGCTCCCTTCGAAAGATTACAGCCATTGCAAACCCTATGGAGCACAATTCTACCCTGAAATACACGGGGTAGCCATGAGTTGGAATGGACTCAATGGCAAGTTTTTTTTTTTTCCCAGCACCCATTTTACAGGGACATTAAGGGATATTTAGGACCATAAGGGATATTACAAAGACATCTCTAAAGTTCTGTCCTTACTAGCTAGAGATGATGAAATAGTGCAATAGATAGGAAATGAGGAAAATTGCAAAATATGGGTTAGGGAAAGAGATGAGTATGTTATAGTTCAGATAAAATTATTTTTCTCTAAGCTACGTGGATCTGGAAACCCTGGTGGTGTTGTGGTTTAAGCATTTGTCTGCTAACCAAAATGTAGGCAGTTCGAATCCACCAGGCGCTCCTTGGAAAATATATGGGGCAGTTCTACTCTGACCAGTAGGGTCGCTATGAGTTGGAATCTACTTGATGGCAATGGGTTTGGTTTTCATTATTTTTTTATGTGGATCTAGTGAGGCGAATTTTCTCTACCTAGCTATACTGTTGTATTATTAGTTCTAGGATTTACAGAACTTACACTGATACTTTCATTTTCAACATTCAATTATTTAAAAAGCTTTTTTAAAAAAAAAATTCCTGTAGGAGAAGTACATCACAGAAATATTATAACACTGCCAATTAAAACTTCCTCGAAGTCAAATTGTTATTTCTCATGGCTACAATAATGGCTTCAATTAAACAGGACTGGACACATATTTGGTAAAACAATGCTAGTGTTCTTCTCTCTTGGCATTGCAATTGCTCCCCTCATTTGTTACAATATTGTGTTTCACAATAAAGCCTCCTTCTCTCATTCCTTTGTAATATATATTAAATCTGATATTTCCATTAGTATAGACTTGTAAAAGCAAAAGAAAAAATAATTTCCTGGGGTCTATTTTGACACCCATGTGTATCCTTAAATTCCATATTTGACTTCAAACTTTGCATCTTGAACCTACTATAGCTGACAAATTGACAAGAAATGTGACCACCTCTGAAAACACACTTTCAATCTCAGAAAGTTCTGTCACCAAAGCAAACAGCCAAGTTAAACCTTGGAAATCGAAACAGACAGCTATGTCAGTGATATTACAGGTAAAAGGAGACTATTCATCCCATCTGTTAATCACCTCACAACTGTACCTGAATTCTAGGCTCACATTCATCTTGAGAGAGAGTTACTGTGCCTTAGTGTTTTAGGCAAGGCAGACCACCAAAACAACCACTGAGACAGAGTCGGATACAGCTATTGAATTTTGGTGTCTTTCTATATTTGTGATAGAGGTTGCAGCCTTTTCTCAAAGTATAAACCTGAAGAACTTAGATGTCCACCAGGTGATGTGAATCAGTGTTTAGCCTGATACAGCATTTGTTTCTCTCTGCTGATGTGTCAAAATGGAAGACCGCAATAAAGAAGTTAATCGTGACTTGCCTGCAAACCCGTAACAGGTTAAAGTAACAAGTTACAGAGGTTTCAGCGTCATCTATTGACAGCTACATAGACTACAAAGCCAGCAGTTTGCCATCGACAGATAATTAGAACCTAGCCCGAGGATAAAATGCTTTCCTCTAAAATCCCTGTCTTTTGATGTGTGTGTGTATATGTATTACGAGCAGATCCAGATATTTCATGTTTTGTAACATCACATTACTGAAATAATATTCTTTGCCCACAATCTAATAGAAAGAGTATAGAGGGGTCAAAAGTGTATATTGTTGGAGAGATTTTAAAAAGAGGATTCTCAATAAGAACTAGACTTAGCTTTACTGGACATCTGTATTAAGGCACACTGGTCTAAATTCAGTCTGCATTAACCTGCATTTCCATCTCTCTCTCCGCTCCACATGGATAGCATTTCTATTTTTCCTTAACACTCCTCACTTTCTTTTGTCTTAGTCTCCTCTTCTATCTGGGCAAGGAAAGTCTAGTTTCAAGATGAAGTGGTCACAGTGGAGTCACTTAAGGTTAGGAACAGTATTCCTTTTTCTTGTGATATTTGGCTAGTGTATATTAAAAGCCAAAGTGGGCATATGCTGAGATCCTTGAGTACAAACACATTTCATAGCCAGAGCTGCATTTGAGAGTATCCTCTTTATATCTCTGCAAATAATGTTACACTGCTATGGATTATGAATAGTTATGGTAATAGAAGTGGAGGTGGGACTGAATTAAGATACAGTGTGCAAAAAAACCAAAAGTTCCTCCTAGAAGCTTGTCTTGAGATGTCCTATCATCAATTCCACGATGCCAAAGGCATAGGGATGTCCAGACAGCATCAGAAAATCCTACAATCCAATCTCGACCCCATCATCTTTACATTACTTTGGGAAACGCAAGAAGAAGTTGATTCTGAGAATTGTATCCTAAGACCAGTAACATTAGACATAGCATGAGATATCATTGCAGGGGCAGAAAAACAGACATATTTAAGTCCTGCCAGGACAAGCAAATTATAAAAGTATGCAGAAGGGTGGCATTCATGCTCTTTAAACAATTAAGTTGATAATATTTATTTATTCCTATATGTTTTCTGTCAATTTATATGCATTTACTAACATTAAATATCAGCTAATAAGTTAGGTATTTTGCCAAATAAAAGACCATAAAATATGTGATCCCTGTCCCCAGACTTCATAATTCAGTCGAGGTGACAAGATTAGCAAAAATTACATTAGTACAGAGCATTCTGTTGCAACTCATGGATAAATTAAATCTTGCCAATTATAAGTCCACAGGCTTTCCAAGAAATGATCAATCTTTTTGGTTTCAAGAACACAACATAGAGAAGATAATAGTTGACTTTGGCACTGAAGGGATTAATATAAATTGAGAACAAGGCAGCTAGTGTAGAAAACTTAAATAGTCCTACATATAATAACAACTCTTTTTTTTTTTTTTAAATATTTTATTGTACTTCAGGTGAAGGCTTACAGAACAGATACTTTCTCATGTAACAGTAACACACATGCTGTTTTATGACATTGGTTAACACCCCCACAACATTTTAACCCTCTAAATTCTCAACTTTTTTTTTTTTTCTTTTGTGAAAATACACATAGCCAAAGATACGCCATTTCAAAAATTTTTTTTTTACATACAC